TCCATGAGCTTCGCAAACATAACTGGAACTACACCTAAATCATACTGAGATAGGAGTTATGACTGCTCAAAGTTAGCCAAAAACTCACTTTTTCCCATACTAAACCAAATTTTCCCGATTTTTTTAATTCCTTCCAAAAATGACTATTTCCATTTCTAAGCCTCTTCATAGTTATTTCAAATTGCCGGATGTTACAGTTATGACAGCTTAACACCATCTTATAGAGTCTATCTAAGTAAAATGTCTGATTCTGTGGAGCCCAAACACTTCAAACAAGCAGTCAAAGATGATAGGTGGATACATGCTATGAAGCAGGAGATACAAGCTCTTGAAGATAACAGAACTTGGATGATAGTTGACTTACTACTAGGGATGCATACAGTGGGATCTAAATGGGTGCATAAGGTCAAATATAAGGCAAATGGTGAGGTGGAGAGGTTCAAGGCCAGGTTGGTTGCAAAAGGATATAGTCAGCAAGAAGGATTGGACTGTCATGATACTTTTTCTCTAGTTGCAAAGATGGTAACAGTTAGATGTGTGATTGCTCTAGCAGTATCTAAGGGATGAAATCTCTATCAAATGGATGTCTACAATGCATTTCTCCAAGGTGATTTAGATGAGAAGGTATATATGGAGATGCCTGAAGGTTTCAGGAAGCCATGGGAGACAAAAGTTTGCAAGTTACTCAAGTCCTTGTATGGGCTTAAACAAGCCTCTAGACAATGGAACTTAAAGCTTACTATTGCCTTGTTGTCTGTTGATTTCACTCAAAGTGCACATGATTACTCTCTTTTTACTCTAAAGAAGAATGAAGGACTTGTCATTGTCCTAGTCTATGTTGATGATTTATTAATCACAGGCAAAAATGATCAGATGATTACAGAAGCCAAGGAGAATCTACATCAACAATTCAAGTTAAAAGATCTAGGAGAACTCAGATATTTTTTGGGGATTGAGGTGTTGAGATCCTCCAAGGGAGTTGTTTTAAATCAAAGGAAGTATGTTTTAGAACTTTTGCTGATGCAGGGCTCACTGGTGCTAAACTTGCTATGACTCCTCTTGAATCAAACCTAAGACTTACCTCAGTGGAATATGATTTGGTGAATGGTGTTACTGGAGATGAGGTCCTTCATGACATTACTGCTTATCAGAGATTAGTTGGAAAGCTTCTTTATGCTAATATTACAAGACCTGACATTAGTTATGCAGTCCAAACTCTCAGTCAGTTCATGTAGTCTCCTAAAAGGTCACATTGGGAAGCAGCTACAAGGGTAGTAAGATACTTGAAGGGCACTATAGGTCAAGGTGTTTGGTTACAAGCTAAACCTGCCACTATGTTAACTTGTTGGTGTGACTCTGATTGGGCTAGTTGTCCTAATACTAGAAGGTCTATTACAGGTTATGTGGTGAGATTTGGTGATTCCTTGGTGTCCTGGAAGTCTAAGAAGCAGCACACTGTCTCTAGGAGCTCAGCTGAAGCTAAATACAGGAGCATGGCTTCAGCTGTATCTGAGATCACCTGGTTGTTGGGGTTATTCACTGAGCTAGGAGTTCCTACTCAGGTGCATGTGGCTCTTTTTAGTGACAGTAAGTCAGCCATTCAGCTTGCAGCCAACCCAGTCTTCCATGAAAGAACTAAGCATATTGAAATTGACTGTCATTTTATCAGAGACAAGATCAAAGCAGGGGTGTGTTCATGTTCCTACTCAACATCAAGTTGTAGATCTATTGACCAAAGGCTTGTCTCAGGCTCAACATCTGCATCTTCTCAGCAAGTTTGGTGTGCTTAATGTCATGCACCCTTTAGCTCGAAGGGGTGTGTTCAAATACAATTCAATTCATCATCACTTAGTTAATTCATCACTTAGCTAACTAGTTAACACTGTTCACTTTTCAATTAGTTAGTTAGTTAATAGATTAATTGGTTACATTGAATCATGAGCTGTCAATAATTAGTTAGTTTGTTATCTCATTTCCTAGCTATAAAAGTACTTGTTGAGAGTCACACTTTGTATGTTGTTGCAGTTAACCATCAATAAAAATTCTCTCCCTTTCTTCTTCTACATTCAGTTTGTGTCCAGGTTCATCAATGAACTGATGAGCTCATTAGCTCACAGTTTTCTCAGAGGAGAACAAATATGTAGCTGAAGTAACCAGTGGAAAATTTGGGCAACTTGAATAGTTTGGGAAATTTTTTATGAATAAAGTCCTATGGATGTTAGTATGACATTTATGATAGGAAATATCTTCCTTTACAAAAGTAGGCGATGCCAACAAAATTGGATTTTTAGAATCTTAAATTCAGCAAAGAAGTTCATCCAACGTTTCAATGTACTAGGTTTTGTCAGACAACATTGTCAAAGATTGTAGTCGGAGAATATTGTAGATCTAGCTGTGATTGTAGGGATACACTCGACTTATTTGGGAGAATTTTGTTGTGTTTCCGTGAGAGAACACTTGTTTTGACTGTCTCTGACTCGATGGGTTCAAATGCAGCACATTTCCCACACATGTTTATTGTGGAAACATAATTGTAGATACTAATTTGCAATTGAGTTGTCATACTTGTCTCAACTAATAAAATGATTGCATGTTCTATGGGTCGTAGTTCTATCCGGGAGAAGAGGTGGGGATGACAAAGTTATAATATGTTGATGATAAGAATCTTGGCTAGTGAATTTGTACTTTTGGGGATTAACCACCCAGTATCCAAAGCTTAATGCCCTGGCTAATTTCGGTTCATACTGGATAAGCCCACTAAGGATAGAACGTCTCAATTTAAAAAAAGGTTTCTGATTACCTCTTATTAAGGATAAAAAGAGTGTTCTTTATCCCCAATAGGACAACAGTTTACGAGTTTTACAGGAAAATAAGAGCTCATCAAACTATCATTCTTTACTAAATCATTTTGATCAGGTAATAATGACACAATACATAAATAAACTAGCTTAGTTGCATTTGATTCTTGCCATGAGAGTACAAAAATATTTTATTCTCTTGTAAGATCAGGTTTTGGCGGAAAAAAAACCAACAAACTACAAAAACTAAGAGCTTGTAAGAACTCAAAAACAATTTTTAACAAAGGTTTTAGCATTTGATTATAGTCCCTCAAAAGCGTTTGACGATGCACAAAATCCTAGTCCCTACAGCAAGAGTACTAGGAGTAGATAAAGTAAAGTAATATTGTCTAGCATAATGAAATAAGTCTTCAAAAATCCTAGTCCCTACACCTGATCTGGGAACAGCTCATCTAGATCAAAGAAGCCTTTATCGCCAACAGTACCAAAGCTAGATGAGGGGATACCGGGAGGTAACTGAGCAGGAGCAACAACTTGTTCTCGGGTTCATTAACGTCCTCCTGCTCCATAATCAAGTCATCAATGCCAATTATGAACTCATCATACGCATAAGGAAACAAACTATTCATTCCATTGATAAGTGCAACATTATGATCTGAGGACTCTCCTCCAGCCACTGCTATCATCTGCTCAGCGTTGGTTCTTTCTCCGGGCAACATGCTCTCATTATTAGTTGTTGGCAGTGTTTGTGATCCTCTGCAAGCATGCCCAATCATGTCCACAGTAGTTCGCACTTGTGAAGTTCCAGCAGCTTCAACATCCACACTGGTTATATCGAGAACACTTGCTTTTGCTCTTGGTTTTCTGTTCCCTTTTTTGGTGGCATTGAGGCGCTTGAAAAACTTCTGGGAATGGGTAGCCACCTGCATTGGTGTTCTTGTCATCACACAATGTCTAGATATACTTCTCCAGTCACCTTTTTCATATATCTCTAAGCCCCGGAGAAATGACCTATAGTAGGAAAGAGAGAGAAATAAGTTAATATCAGTATTGAAGTTAATCTAGGTAACAAGTGTAAGACATTACAAAACATGATTATAAGCATCAATTAAGATTATTAATGTTGTCCTCAAGAACTGTACAGAAAACCCACCTATGTTCCTCTTCTGTCCAAGGAGTCCCTCTTTGCCTTTCTACATCTGCTTTTGAACTTTTCTTGCTGGAGTCACCTTGCATTTTTGGATAATTAGGTAATGGAACAAGGCCAGACTCAATGGCCTTCACATCTTCGACTAATATATTATAGTGATCTAGGATATCATCAAGCAATTTCCCTGGAAGTGCTTCTTGTATCTTCGTCAATAAATTGATATCCTTAGAGTAAATCGCTAGGGTATTCTCAAATATTTTATCCGCATCCCTTGTCCAAAAGGAGCTATAACATTTTTGTTTGGTGCTCATTTTCTTTTAGATCTACAAGGAAAGGTTCAAGCATTAAAATGAAAAGTGCTTGCAGAGGATTCAGAAAATGGATGAGTTATAACACATGCATGACAAAAACGACCATAAATATCTAGCATCTAAAATAAGATTTTCTTTAGCCTGACAATACGCAAGACTGATGATTCTATGGTGTAATAGTCAACAATGTAATCTACTTTATAGGTACTTCATATTTATTGAAATGGTTTTCAATTAGGTAAGGCGAAAGAGGAAATAGATAAAATATGCTTAATTAAGGAGATAACATAATGACAGTTAACATTTGTATGGAGAGCTATTTCAAACAGATACAAACAATGAGTAAGTTGACAAAATAACTTCACCAGTAGCATATTAATTGGATTTCCTTTTTTGTTTCTTTGTAAAGATCATGATTACACATTCAATATTTTTCATAATTAGAATTATTTTATTGGATTACTTAAAAAGTTTTTTACCTTTACATAAGTCCCCAAAGATACGAAGCATATGAAAACATCTATGGTTTTTACCTTTCTATCGGATGTAAGGTTTTACTATAAGAAAGAAGAGTAAAAAGAATTGTCATATTTAATTAGGATGTGACATCTATAGTTACTTGTACCGGTATTGAATTATAATTATTTAATTTCAACTAACGGGCAAAACAATATTTACCTTAAGTGTTGCGAATGTTTCCTTAAATAGACTCGGTACAAAAAATCTTCAGTCGTCTACAAAACAAAAAACTTGTAATTCAACCACAAGGTAAATAGTTTAGAAAACTGTGATATACCAATACACAATTACATAAATAGATCTTAAGAGGAGTAGGGAGGGGAAGGGTGTGGGGAGGGGGAGAGAAGAAATAAGTATGGACTCCACATAATCACATACGTCAAGCATTTGAACTAAATTCAAAGATGCAAAAGCAGAAAAACATTAGTTCACAGAGAAGCATGTTTAGAAAGATTTGAATTTAATAAATCCCTAAAAGTTTCAAGCTCAGGAGGAAAACTTCTCTGACATAGATTATAACAATTATAATTTGATTAAAATACTTAATACATAACAAGGAAAAATCTCTTTAATAGTATTCTAAATCAATTTTATTCATGGATATGACTCAAATACAATGGATGAAGAGTTTAGACACCTCTAGAGTCTGATAAGTAAATCTAGTTCATATTCATCCATTCCACCCCATATATGTATAGTCAGAACTAGAGATTTTTGTATGGAATGATTCCAAGTTCATATAAAGACATAATCTATGGAGGTTGTTGTTATATCTCATTAAAATCAAAATCTAAAGCTAAAGAATATAACATAGGAAATAAAATAACACTTTTTTCATAGAAAAACTCATATAAAAGTAGAGATTAATACTAACTCCAATGTGAATCAAGTGAAATGCTTTGACTATAATAAAAGTAAATGAAAGAGGAAAAAAGTCAAGGCATGTGTTATTTAAAGAGAAAAGACATAAAGTGTCATCTAAAGTTGTCCCAATTTTTCAAAAAGACACATAAAATATGCAAGCGTCCTATTATCCTCCTAAACAATCATGAACTGATATTATTACATCATTTTTTGTCCACCATGACATGGAGAGTGTATGCACTCTCTTAAAGAGCGTGAACAAACTAAAAAACCGAATATAATTTATTTTTACAAGTATTTTTCTATAAAATATATTTTCTTGTTTTTCTTATTATTTTATCTTTTTCTCCTTATTATTTTTTCTTTTTCTTTCTTCCTTCTTCTTCAAAAATCATTTTCATCTGCTTCTCACTTTCAATGTCATTTTTTACCACAACTGCACCTCCCTTTTTTACTACTATTCGTTTAACTCTCTTCAATTTAAAATTATATCTAAATATTTTATTACATTTCAAACAATTTGATAAATCAATTAGATTTCAAGATGATTAGTAGGTATTATTTAGTTTTTTAATCCAAATTTCAATTAAACTTTTTCAATTTTCGGAGAATTCTAATTCTTTCAAAAATATCATTTCTAGTTTTTAAGTTATATGAAAATAAGATAAATTAATTGATGATACCTTCAAAATTTTGATTTTTCTTAGAAAAATCATTAGTTTTGATTTAAATTCTACTATTATATAATTAAAATATTTGTATTTAATTAAATAATTAATTAAATTTTAATTTAATAAAAGGATAAAATAGTAATTCAACTTTTTTACTTTCGAATTAAAAATACAAATGGAAATCCAAATTAGAAATAAATAAGGGAACCAAATCAGTTTTTTTTTGTTTGTTCTTATAAAAAGACAAGGGTTGCATAGTATTTGGTAAATAGGAGAAAGTAAAAAAGCAAAAAGCATATACCGTAAGGCAGGATGGCGGAATCGGAATTGGGGACGATGATGGGTCTAGGGCTAAAATTTGGTGGTGATGTGAAAAGGGATGCGAGTGGGAAAATAATGGGATGTTTTTGTGCTTTCCGTGTAGCGCCATCGCCACAAGGTTGCGTTTTATGCAGTAGGCCCCCTCTCCATCCCGACGACGAGGAGAACCTTCACCTCGGCTATGCAATTGGTACTTTGAAGGAGCACCGTCCGTATATCGATCAAATTCGCATCAAATACTATCAACAAATCCATGAATCCTATGTTTGTTTCCTTTTCCCTTTTCAATTTATGCTACTTTCATTCATATTTGCTGTTCGTGGGTGGAGCAATGGTGGTGAACTAGTCGAGCAACAGTTCATTGGAGTGAGAAGCTCCTCGATGAGAAAAATCACAATGGGAGGAAGCTTTTTTTTTTTTGCTAGAAAGTCTTAAATTGTTGTTGTTTTGTGCTACCTTCATTGCCAATTTGATTGCAGCCCCCTTTTTGTTTTGTTTGTATCTAATCGTTTTTGTCAGATTCTAGTTTTAGGTTAACAATTATAATTAATTCCAACTTTTGAATGTTCCTATTTGTTAAATTTCATATTATCGAGTGTTCCTCTTGAAGACACGTCTATTATAATTCTTGTGTATCTTATGCCCATCCATTGGAATTCTCTTTGATATTGATATTCCAGTTTTGATATTGTGTTGTCTCTACTTGCTTGTTTGAATTGACAGGGTTTCGACTTTGATGATTTTCCCGGTGTGGAAGTTCAAATAGAACCAATTTTGAATGTCAAGGACAACGTTGACTTTGGGATAATGATGAAACTAGCTAATCGTGCCATTCAAGAATACAATGAGAAAGAGCACAATGTTTGTATGCCCCCTTCCCAGCTTTACCTTTTGTGATATTTTAACTCTCTCTCACTCCTACTATCCCTCGCAGGTTTTCAAGTATAAGGTTTTGGAGATTGAGAAAGCGAATTATATGGTAGGAGGATACGAACAGTATTTCATGACAGTTAAAGTCTTAAACCTCACCATTGGTACTTCTATTGAAACCTTTTACATCAATGTTGCTAGAAGAATCCCTGACCGTTTTGAAGAAGTCCTTTCATGCAATCCAAAAGGAATGGTAAAGCACTGAATGATGATCACATGCTGCTCTTTTTTTTTTCTTGCAAGAAACACACTTGTGCTGAATAACTAACTTAACTGTGTTTTGTTTCTCCCGAACTAATTTGCAGGTGCCGGAGTTTAGCATATTTGGCAAGAAGAAACGTTGAATGGAAAGAGGAGTGTCGCGAGAGGATAGGAATGGGCACCTGAGCTTTAGTTTGAACCCTGTTCAAGATTTCAGCATCTTACTTTTGATATATGAACTGAACTGTATTAGTGTTATGACACCATGTGGATGGTTATTCTTCTTCCAAGTTTACTACTGTTTGAGAACATTTCAGTTTATGTAGTTGCAAGTGATGTGGATGGTACTATATTGTCGAATTGAATGCTACAATTGTTGGTTGATTACGCTTTGATAGTGTGTGAAACATTCTCTATTGTGTATGAAATGGTCTCTTGATGTAAGGAAGAAGGCAATGATGGTGGAATTTACTTTCCATTCACAACTCTATATGTAATGTGATTGCTTTCTTCCAAGTTTTCTACTGTTTGAGAACATTTCAGTTTTTGTAGATGAAAGTGATGTGGATGATATGTGTATTGTCGAATCGAATGCTATAACATTCCATTGATAAGTGCAACATTATGATCTGAGGACTCTCCTCCAGCCACTGCTATCATCTGCTCAGCATTGGTTCTTTCTCCGGGCAACCTGCTCTCATTATTAGTTGTTGGCAGTGTTTGTGATCCTCTGCAAGCATGCCCAATCATGTCCACAGTAGTTCGCACTTGTGAAGTTCCAGCAGCTTCAACATCCACGCTGGTTATATCGAGAACACTTGCTTTTGCTCTTGGTTTTCTATTCCCTTTTATTGTGGCATTGAGGCGCTTGAAAACTTCTGGGAATGGGTAGCCACCTGCATTGGTGTTCTTGTCATCACGCAATGTCTAGATATACTTCTTCAGTCACCTTTTTCATATATCTCTAAGCCCCGGAGAAATGACCTATAGTAGGAAAGAGAGAGAAATAAGTTAATATCAGTATTGAAGTTAATCTAGGAAACAAGTGTAAGACATTACAAAACATGATTATAAGCATCAATTAAGATTATTAATGTTGTCCTCAAGAACTGTACAGAAAACCCACCTATGTTCCTCTTCTGTCCAAGGAGTCCCTCTTTGCCTTTCTACATCTGCTTTTGAACTTTTCTTGCTGGAGTCACCTTGCATTTTTGGATAATTAGGTAATGGAACAAGGCCAGACTCAATGGCCTTCACATCTTCGACTAATATATTATAATGATCTAGGATATCATCAAGCGATTTCCCTCGAAGTGCTTCTTGTATCTTCGTCAATAGATTGATATCCTTAGAGTAAATTCCTAGCTAGGGTATTCTCAAATATTTTATCCTCGTTCCTTGTCCAAAAGGAGCTATTACATGTTTGTTTGGTGCTCATTTTCTTTTAGATCTACAAGGAAAGGCTCAAGCATTAAAATGGAAAGTTTTTGCAGAGGATTCAGAAAATGGATGAATTACAACACATGACAAAAACTACTATAAATATCTAGCATCTAAAATAAGATTTTTTGTAGCTCGATAATAAGCAAGACTGATGATTCTCACAAAATTTCTTATAGGTAATAGTCAATAATGTAATCTACTATATAGGTACTTCATATTTATTAGAATGGTTTCCAATCAGGTAAGGCTAAAGAGGAAATAGATGAAATATGTTTAATTAAGGAGATAGCATAATGACAGTTAACATTTGTATGGAGAGCTATTTCAAACAGACAAAAACAATGAGTAAGTTGACAAAACAACTTCACCAGTAGCATATTAATTGGATTTCCTTTTTTGTTTCTTTGTAAAGATCATGATTACACATTCAATATTTTTCCTAATTAGAATTATTTTATTGGATTACTTAAAAAAGAAATTACCTTTACAATAGTCCCTAGAGATACGAAGCATATGAAAACATCTATGTTTTTTACCTTTCTATCGGATGTAAGGTTTTACAATAAGAAAGAAGAGTAAAAAGAACTGTCATATTTAACAGATGTAACATCTATAGCTATTTGTACCGATATTGAATTATAATTATTTAATTTCAACGAATGGGGCAAAACAATATTTACCTTAAGTGTTGCAAATGTTTCCTTAAATAGATACGGTACAGAAAATCTTCAGTCGTATACAAAACAAAAAACTTGTAATTCAGCCACAAGGTAAATAATTTAGAAAACTGTGATATTACTAACTCCAATGTGAATCAAGTGAAATGCTTTGACTACAATAAAAGTAAATGAAAGAGGAAAAAGGGCAGGACATGTGCTATTCAAAATAAGATTGAGATTACAGTAATCATGATTCCTGAATTGAGGATAAGTACAACCTTTTGGGATAAGAACAATTTTAAATCAAGATCTATAATAGTCAAAAGTCAAGAATTGTAACATCCGGCAATTTGAAATAGCTAAGAAGAGGCTTAGAATTTGAAAACTTTCAATTTTTGGAAAGGATTTGAAAATCTGGAAAATTTGGCTAAGTATGGAAATCAGTGATTTTTGGCCAACTTTGAGCAGTCATAACTTCTAGCTCAGGATGATTTAGGAGTAGTTCTAGTTATGGTTGTGAAGCTTGTGGAATGATCTTTCCAACGCCACCGAGTTTGCTCAATTCCTAGTTCGTATGAGCGAGTTATGGCCTTTGAAAGTTGGGCAGTTGACAAGGAAATCCGTCCGGGAATCATTAAGGGCATTTTGGTCTTTTCCCTAGCTATTTCTTTTGAGGATGTATTGTTGT